TGCAGTCAGCTGAAGTAGCCTGCAGTGCTGCATTTAACCACTGCGCCACCTCAGCTTAAACTAGGCATACTCAGTTCCTGCAACCGTTCTTCATATGTTTGGCATCCAGTCCCCTAATCCTCTTTGTTGCTCTTCTCTGCACTCTTTCTAAGTTCCAACGTCATTTTTACATTGTGGCGACCAAAACTGAACACAGTATTCCAAGTATGGCCTTACCAAGGCTTTATAACGTTGATCTTTACACTGGCCCAAGTCTGAGATTTTTTAAAAAATGAAGTAGCACTTTATATTTTAGTTTAAATGGGACTTATATTATTGGGGGATCATTTTATCCAACCCCCTATTAATATTAATTGGAGCTTTTAATAGTGTTTACAGAGGAAGTTAAGCAGGCTGAATTTTCCGAACAAAATCGCCATTCCTTCCTCACTCCTGCGGGAAGGTTGCTGCAAAATTCCCATTCCCTCCCCACCCTACTACACTGCTTTCCAGCTCCGTTCTCCTGTGCAGAGCAACCAAAGAAGACCCAGCCGATCAGCTGAGACTTGGGAGGCAGCGAATAAATCCAGCAACTGAATTACTTCAGTTAGAACAGTTCACCAAAGTGATCAATACCAATCCCCTCAAAATCAATGGGACTATCCAAGAACATGATAAATGGCTGTGGATCAAAAGAAAGAAATTACTGGGGGGATCAGTATGTAGTTTAATAAATATTGAAAGGTTGACTGGAGACAATTAATTTTCGGGGGTCTCTGTAGAACTTGTCTCTAGGCCTGAAGATGATTAGCCTAGCAGTGAGGCAGTCTTAACCCAGTGTCTGATGATCAGCTACCAGTGAGAGAGGCCTTGAGTTGCCTCTATTATTATTGTTCTTATTTGTAATATTATTAATTAAAATAGCATTTATTACATTATTTTCGTGTAGTAATTATTTGTGAATTGTGAACAATCTGGAACTTCATGAAGGGGTCAATGAGGCAAAGAGTTTAGGGAATGCTGCTTTAGAACTAACATATTTCCATGCACATTGCAATGGAGTCTTTCTGATTCTCCTTCTAACAGTCTTCTGATGAACCAACAGAGAAGCAGGTGTCTACATAAGGGGAATTCTACAATAGCTATACAGTATGTACACTGTACATACAGTACAATAACTGTCTCTTGAATTTCTATCAATATAGGAATCAACTCTTATAACCATTTTACCAATTAAAAAAGAATGCTCTGCACATGCTTGTACATTCTGAACCACATCTTTGGAAGGATTTGTACAGCCCTAGTTTACAATATGACAGACAATGTGAGTCGGAGCGAAGTGAAACAAAATCATAGACCAGGGATGTCCAACTCTATTTCACTGAGGGCCCTATCAGGGTTGTGTTTGACCTCGGGGGGCTGGGGTGGGCATGGCCACCTCGACATCAATATGTGGATGATACTCAGTTGTACCTCTCCGCCCCGTGCCAACTCAGTGTAGCGGTGGAAGTGATGTGCCAGTGCCTGGAAGCTGTCAGGCCCTGGATGGGAATGAACAAGCTTGCACTCAATCCTGACAAGACCAAGTGGTTATGGATGCTGCCCCCCCAAGGACAATCCAGACATTCCATCTCTAAGCCTGGGGAGTGAAACTCTACACCCCTCAGAGAGGGCCCGCAATTTGGGTGTCCTCCTGGACCCACAGCTGACATTAGAACATCATTTGTCAGCTGTGACCGGGGGGCTTTTGCCCAGGTTCGCCTGGTGCACCAGTTGCGGCCCTACCTGGACCGGGAGGCACTTCAAATGGTCACTCA